GGGGGGGGGGGGGGGGGTAAATAGCCAGCACGGCACCTCTTCAACACGAGTGTGCCGTGCTACAGCACCATGTACACTCTGTGGCGAGTGTGTTAACAGGGTGCTCATGCACGCGCATGGCCCGGCAGCCACCTGGGTTCAAACCCCAGCAGCAGCAAGACTCCCGGATCTTGATAATATAAATTTGGAACCGGGGCGGGGCGGGGCAGCGGGGGCGCGCGCGCGCATGCGGCGGTCTTGGCCTTGGTGCTCGTGGTGGCGCCTCCCTTTTTCGCCACGTGTCACCTGCAGCGGGCGCCACCTTTTTTCCCTTCGTTTTCGCTGCAAAACGGCCGAAAAACACCGAAAAAAACCGCTGTCGGGTTTGCTGTATTCCCGGCTGTGCGGACTGCTGGACAGTTGTACGGGGTGGTGGGTGGGAGCGGGAACCGTTCCCGCTCCGATACCAATGTAGCGGACCCACCAGGTGTGGTGCTCCGCTAGCGATAGAGATGGAGATGGAGGAAGAAGGGGGGGAGCGAGATGGCACAACGCAGCTCCCCACACAAGACTCCAACGCACGTACTCCAAAATGTGCAAGTGAAGAATGCCCCTAAAAACAAACAATGGCTGGGGTATACCCCAGCGGACTGACGGGACTGGACTGGACTGGCTGGTACCGACAGAGGTACCGGCCTGGACTGGCCTACCCCGAATACAACACAGGCCTGTGAGAACAGGCCAAGGGGCTGGTCTCACAGGCCAACCAGAGGTCCGCTACAACTGCTGTACAAGTGCATGAGTTTATCTATCGACATGCTTGATAGCTCTCTGCGTTTGTACGGCATCTCCAGTATTTGACGTAGGTAGCCATTTCCTTTCTCCCAAGCATTCTGCATGAGGACTATTGGTGAAATCCAGAAATGCCCTTCGGCCTCAAACTTCAGCTTCGCGTGTGCGAGCGAGCTTTTCCCATCTACTCAAATAACAGTTGAAGCTCCGAACATTCTACCAGTACCTTTGTCAGTTCGAAAATACTCGGCCTCCGACCTTTCAAGAGGCCGAAACGAAACGACGGCCGCCGATCAGATTGATCAACGTCGGGCTCGGCCTCCTAAAAGTTCGGGTGCTGGCCAAGACTTGTCGAAACTGAACGCCAAAGGTACTGGTGGAAGAAGAAGAAGAAGAAGAAGAAGAATAGTGAATAGTGAGAACAGTGGCCAACTGCCTTTCGTACAGGCTTCGAAAGCTCATCAATACATAGCCGCNAACAGTGGCCAACTGCCTTTCGTACAGGCTTCGAAAGCTCATCAATACATAGCCGCACGTACTCATCTCAGCTCACGCGCACAATCCCCGACGCGTTTCGATTGGTTGCGCTCTGATCATCCTCAGGGGGGTTTCCACATAATCCTTGCCTTGCGGCCCACCGACAATCCTCCCAACCTTTTGAGTACTGAGGGCCGATACGGCCTTGCCCTCCTATATATACTGTACACCGAGTTGAAAACCTAGCCAGCACGGTACTCACTTCCCCAACGGGCACTTCCACGAGCGACTACGGCTATGGTCTGCCGCATAGACGTTGCGTCGAAATCTATAAAATCCGTCCCGTGTCGGCCCCTCAACGGGCGTCAGATAGTCAATCCACATAAGCCTCCGATCGTCGACACGACGACTATCCCTTCAGGCGCCACCACATGTTCACGTGTCGAAGTACAATGCATGGGCTAGTGACTCTTTTCCCACAGGTAGTCATTCCAACGTTCAATTTCCTCCGTCGAGCATCACCTTTCTCTAACTCTGACTTCTCATTGGACTACATCGTGCAGCGTGGATCCCAGCCCTGATTCCTAATACGTGGCTCGGTAGTCCAGTCAGTTCAGTTCAGTTCAGTTACACGAGTGTCGCGTGTGACCTGTACATTTTCAAAATTCGACACGCAGTATGTCCTTTCCCCGCTCTTTTTTCGAAAATTGAATTGAGAACATAGCGCAGCCAATCGCTAATCATCCATGCATTTCAAAGTTCAGAAACAAGCTCCAGCGAGGACATAAGCTCAAATCAGTACCGAAGAAGAAAACTAGACAAAAAATAAAAACAGTCGCCATAGACTGCTTCTCGTACACACATCAACAGAAAGGCATAACTTCTCCGCATGCATAGTTCTCAGCTGAAACGCGCAAATTCCCCAACGCGTTCCCCCCAGGCTGCGCTCCCGGCACTCCTCAGGGGCCGTGCGCAGATGTGACCGGAGGCAACAGGAAAACAAGAAAAGAAGAACTGAATTGAATTGAATTGAATTGAATTGAATTGAGAACATAGCGAGAGGCCATCGCTAATCATCCATGCATTTCAAAGTTCAGAAACAAGCTCCAGTACGGACATAAGCTCAAGTCAGTCCCGAAGAAGAAGAAGAATTGAAATTGAAATTCAAATTGAAATTCAAATTGAAATTGAAATTCAAATTCAAATTGAAATTCAAATTGAAATTCAAATTGAAATTCAAATTGAATTGAAATTGAAATTAAAATTGAAATTGAAATTGAATTGAAAAATTCAAATTCAAATTCAAATTCAAATTTAAATTCAAATAGCAAGGCCGACCGCCATGCGTCCTTTACAAGAACAGAATGACATAACCACACCCACACAGACATACATGCTCAACGCGCACATTCCCCGACGCGCGTTTCGCCTGGCTGCGCACCAGTACTCACATCAAGGGGCTTCCTGTCTCCGGCATCCACCTTAGCATACCACCCCCAGAGCAAAGAGAAGAAGAAGGAGAAGAAGAAAGGAAGGAAAAGAAGCCAAATGGGGGGCGTACTTGGTGAGAGCAAGACGGAAAGAGGAAAACCAAATTTTGCATTGCGGATGGGATTCAGTGCGTACTCACACTCCCTCTATCTTACACGTATCTGACCGCATTTACGGCCGGACCTGCACGTACATATTACCGCATTACGTCCCTAAACAAGTAAAAAACTCCTACTGTGAGTTCCCCTCCGAGTAGATTGATTATTAGGTAATATAAATACTCTTACCGCAATCAAGTCGCCGGCCGATACCGCCTGATTAACCATGACCGTCGGATGTACCCAGACTTGTGCCCCACAAGAGACGTCCGCCCCATCGGCCCCATCCATCAGTTCTAATTCCATTGATTTTCCTTCGAGCGCATGCTTGTTGATCACTATCGCCCCCGATCCCGATCTGCCCGCACCTGGTGACTGTACGGGCATGGACGAGCCCGTCGCCCCCGATCCCGACTTGTCCATAGCCCCTCCTCGGCTTCCTTGTTGCCCTTTAACGAGTGGGTGTGCTGCATCGTCATCGCCCTGCGTGCCATCTTGTTTCTTCTTGCTCCGTGATCCACTCTTGACACGTGGCATTTTCTTGTCCACCCGTAAAAAAAACTAGGCCGAGAACAGAAAACCCCCAACCCGCCAGTCTGCACCTGCACCCTGATGGACAAAGGGAGAGGAAAAGACAAAAAGCATTTTTTTTCCAAGGATTTACCAAAAACACGGTTTCATAATCAAAAAAAACTTTTCTTTTTTCTCTTCCCTTTTTTTTTTTTTAGGTTAATTCTTTTACTTTAACCCCAACCAATTCAATTACCTGTTATTTCTGGACAGGACGGCCTTGCCTTCCAAGGATTTACCGAACGCTGTCTTCTTTTTCTTCTTCTTTTTCTTTTTCTTCTTCTTTTTCTTCTTCTTTTTCTTCTTCTTCCTTTTGTTTTGTTCCTACCAAACGCGTTTTACATGTTCCCTCCAAGGATACTTGAACGATTCTTATTAGTAAATACTAATAAGTATCATCAACTTAACGAAAAGTGAGAAAGAAAAGTACTAATAAGTATCATCAACTTAACGAAAAGAGAGAAAGAAAAGCTGAAACATACTGTAATAAGAATAGTGGTCATTGGAATATGCAACTACTACAGTCTTCCCCCGAATACAACGTACGGTCATTATAGCTGAATTTGGTGTATCTTTCAGTCTAAATTCAGCTATGATGACCGTACGTTGTATTCGGGGAAAGACTGTAGTACTAGTAGTAGTAACGACGATTTCAAGGTCAACGACGAGGGTTCGAACCTTCTCCAAACACCACCAACATCATAATCATCGATTAGAAACGACCAGCATACCCGTAATGACGGAGATGATCGATTACCGTGCTACTGCTGCTGAGGTTACATCACTTATAAAGTTTTATTTTTATTTTCACTTCAATTTTACGGAAAGCTCCCGCGGGGGGGCAGCCGTGCGTGCGTAGATCGGAAAAGGGTACAGAAAGAGAGAGACATAGAAAAAGGGCAAAAAAAATAAAGAGAGAAGTCCAGTGAAAGCCCGGTCATCATATTCGCATCCAGTGTGAAAGGGCCTCGCTCCACTACTCACCAAATGTGCAAAACAAGAACGAATCTTCCGCTAGAAATTGGAAAGATGCATCGTCATCTTTTTTGTCTTTTGTGCATGTGGAGAGTAGTGGAGCAAGGGCCAAAGTTAAGTAAATACAGCGATAACGACCGGCGGGCGTTGTGCTCTGAGGCGAGCGCAGGAGAAGGAAGAGGACAAGGTGGAGGAAGGAAATGAAAAAGAGGCAACCTTTGCGCAATCACGAAAACAGCTTCAAATTTCAAAATGCATTTTCCAGGCATCCCTCGAACATAACACACCCCCACCGGACCCTAAACCTAGCTTGTATATTTTCAGCATGTCGCCTAGACTGCTTTCTGAAACCGAAACCGAAACCGTGACGGCGCCCTACCGTCTTCGCCCGAATAGAACGCCCGGTCATTACAGCTGCTGTATTTGGCACAACTTTCGGTCCAGATGCGGCGATAATGACCGGGCGTTCTATTCGGGTGAAGACGGTAGTCGTTTTCCCAATGAAGGGGCGAAAAGCCACCGAGACAGGTGGAGGCAGTTCCAGACACGAAGAGTAGAAAGTCACCGTCCGATACCGCCTGATTAATCAAAGGCCATGGTACTCTACCGTCCGATACCGCTTGATTAATGGGTACATAGACTACCATGGCCGGATAAAGCAAAGGACAAGGAGCATTGTGTCATTTCGGTTCGCAATTGTCATTTCGGTATTGTCGTCCTGATGATAGATACACAATGCTCCTTGTCCTTGTCCTTTGCTTTATCCGGCCATGGTACTCTATTTACCTATCGTCGTCCCGGGAACACGTTGTATGCATCCATCATGAGGGACCGGAAACACAACGCACCAACATTGCGACTGTATCGGACCGGAAAACACGTTATATGCATCCATCATGAGGGACTAAGTTGTGGTTGGGGGGAAGACGGTAGTCCGTGCGTTGTCCAATGGGAGAAGTGGGTACTTGTATGAGTAATAACTGCCTGGGTCTTGCCCTTCATTCAAGCATATCAATCGCTTCCTGTCTTTTCCATGCACGTCAATCGAGTACTGTTGCATTGCTGATACATGATCAGCCTGAGTTGGCGAATAGGAGGAGGTGTTCAGCCTCACCTTGCAGGTAGCATGGGGGCACTAAATCGCGCGATATTGAACTGAGATGTTATGATCGAGCGAGCAACAGAGGAGGAACAGAGCTGACAGAGGAAAAGAAAGGCGCCAGTTTGCCGGTTGGGGGGGAAAGAGGGGGGGGGGGAGAGAGAGAAAGAAAGAGAGATAGATAGAGAGAGAGAGAGAGAGAG